GCATATTGGTCTTCTTTTTCATTTTAAGTTTTGGCATAAATTCATAATAGGATACATAATAGGAAAAATCGTCTTTTATTCTGTTATCAAATAACTCTAACATATATTGCTGTTGTACACTCCTGTCTCTACTGGGGAGGGACTTTATTAGATTTGATATGAATAACTATTGAATATTTTATTTAACATGGCACTGCTGCGCACAGCTGCCATTAATATTTTGGTGGTATTGCAATATTATAATCCTTACTTTGTTGCTATAATATTTTCTCATATTGTCCTCGGATCATGGTGGAACGGAATGTATCTGTTGTCTACAACAATTGTTTTAGAATTTCATGTCTCATTAAATGTTTTGGCAAAATGTACCACTATTTGTCACATAGTCAGAAGGAATTTAATTCGATCATTTAAGGGAAGGACTTTCTCCCTCGGAAAATATCTACATGTCTTAGTAATTTTTTCATTCTGGAATTAGATTACTTTAGAAAAAATGAAAGGGGAAGGGAAAAAATGAAACTTTCCTCTGGATGTTCCAAAGTTTTTCTGATGTGTACTGAAAAGAGAAACATACCAGCTCTTAGAATTAAGGACTTTATTTAAACAGGAGTATTTACTCTGGGAGCGGGTGCTATAAATGAACATAGAGGAAGTGGAGCACAAAGAGGATTTCATACTGGCTGGGAGGAAACTGAGACCTGTGTGTGAATGGGGGATTTTTCGTGGTTACTTCTGCAAGACTTAAAGAAAAACTAATTGGTATTGAACAGCAGATGTCTTTCTCAGATATTTGGCACTATTGAACTTGAGGCCAAAGATTTACTCTTTTTTTTTTTTCTAAGTTCTGATGTCATGTAACTAAGAGCAACATTTTTCTCCCTTAAGTAAAAATGGCTTTGGCTCATTTTCTGCCATTCCCTACAGCGGCACTCCAGTCGAGGTTGTTTTGTTCCATATAGGAGACCTTTAAAAAAAATAGGGAGGGGGATAGGGACAGAACTCCCAGAGAGGGACAGGCCTTAAGATGGAGGTCTTCCTCCCAGGACGTGACAGGCTGTTGGCTGGAGGATGCTCAGGAAGGCCTTGGCAGACCAACAAAGACAGCCCTTCAGCTGCAGGGTGTAGTTTTTCAGGCCCCAGCATCCCCTTTGGCAGCAGCACAGAGAGTGCTGGCGTGCACAGGCCCCCGACCCGAGAGACAGGGAAGTAAGGCCCGTTCTTTTATTTACTCAGGCTGCTGCTGAGGCCTGGGCATTTCTTGTCTGGGTGAAGAAGGAAAAAAAACAAGTCTCTCTCTTTCTTTCCTTTTGTGGTCTCCTGAGGAAGATTGCTCTTTCATCTACAGTTGTTCACACACTTGTTTCGGCCATTTCTCTTGTATCTGTGTATATGTGTGTACACTATGTACAGACATGTGTATACTTTCGTGTGAGTGTATTCTGTGCACTTATGCTCTCAAGTGTGCGTTACAGACTGTGCAAGTGTGTTTGCGTATTGACGTGTTTATTTGGATAGTGTGTGTGTGCGTGTGTGCGTGTGTGTGTGTGTATATAGATTTGGGAAGTGGTGGAATGAGGGATCACGTATTTGAAATATAGTTTTACCTCCCAACAAAACCAGTCTTTGTTTCTATTTTAAATTCAGCATTTTTCAGGGCCACCACATAAAGACAAACAGCCTGTAGAAGTATAGAAGTGCAGTGCAGAACTTTGGAAACACTTTCCATCTGGAGAACAGGGAATGTTTAAAATTGAGATTATTTCGATTTTCAGAGGTGAGGGGATGGATCGAATTTCTAAAAGGCTTAAAAATATATTATCTTTTTATCAATACTACATACAATTTACTTGTCCATTTCCTTTTTATTTCGTGACTACAATTATTTTTTACAGGATTTTCACCCATTCTTCCTGCAAAAGACTTCTCATTTTAAGGAATTATTTGGCTTGTATACAAGGCTTTAAGATAGGAATACACATTACTTTGGAAGATGTCCAGGTCAAGAATACATTATGTATGTAAAAAAAAAACGTTACTTTTTAGAACGGTAATGGTGAATCTATTTAATAGTTTGTATTAGTTATTTAGTTGAATTAATTCATTCAAGTGTAATGTAATGGGCTGCAAATCATGACCAATCTACTCCTATTATTTAACAACTGAAAATATGTTTTTCATCTGCTTTCCTGTTGTTATTTGCTGCCAAAAGGTTGCATATAAACCTTGCTTATATTTTAAATTTACAGTCTGATTAACCAGATTTAGGATAGGATTTCCTCCAACTCTTCCATTAAACTCCATTGAATTAATATTTGTGCAGGTGTTACTGTACTGTAAAGTAGCACATCACAACTCCGTAATCCTCTCTATAACTCTCTATAGTAAATCTCCCTTGTGTTTCGTGTAGCTTTTCTGGCAGTCCTACAACTTTTCTCTTGGCAAGTTTTCTTGAATTTCTAGCCTTCAACTTAACATCCTCCATTTCCGGTAATTATGGATTCATAATTACATAACAATCTTAGGAAATTACTTCTTGACAAAGTGCTGCCTTCCAATTATAAACTTCTCGTTCTTAGTGCACATCACTTATTTTGATTTTCAGATTGCCAGGTATCTGCCTAGATCGCTGCCGCAAGGCTTACTTCATTTCTAAGGCTTTGATATGGCCATAAACTGGCTTTACTCAAGAATGATTGTGATCAAACCTGCTGAAAGCTGCTCACATTGAGATATTTTTGATTGTCACAAGAAGAGAATAGGTGTGCCCAGATAGCAATTGACCACTGTGTGTTTTTTACAGTTTGGTGGTGTTTTTTTAACCTATTTGTTACTGCTGTGATATTATCAGTACAACACAATACATGCCTCTCGTTGGCAAATTGAGTTGAACTGCACGCTGTATCTTTAGTGATGTTTGCATATATTAGTTTGTGCAATGTGTGGACTATAAAAATCTACTATGAACCTTTATACGTACAAACATTTCCTTCCTGCTAATTTAACTTAAGTAACACTTTTAACTCCCAGAGCTCCCCTCAGATATGACTTTATGTATGTGTGTTATTAGAGTAAAGCATAGAATAAATAATACAAATCAAGTAAACAAACATCAGCAAATGTAATGAGGTTGTCTTGACAGCTTAGAAATCTCTCTAGGCAAAGTCTTTCTCATTTAAGACAGTAGAATTTCATTTAGCCTTGTATACAGGTCCATTTATTTGTTTGTTTTATACTATTGTCTTGAAGCCAATTTGTTTGACTGTAAGGCATTGGCTTAGGTCATTCTTCTTGCACTGTCTTCTTCTCCTATACCCCGAGAGGCAGTGTGAGATAGGGCAGATCCGCCCCCTCTGTGGAGGAGGGTATCGCACTGAGTCACTCATCCTCCCTCAAACCAGAGAGAAAGAAAACATCGAGACATGGATGAGAGATAAAGCAAGTAAAAAAGGCAAGGTTCGCTTCTTGAGTGAGATGTGTGTGCAGAGTGGGCGCTTTGCCAGGGGTGGGAGGTTTCCGGGAGGGCCGCGGTGTGGAGGTGGGCTCTCAATGTGCCGCTTTCAGCAGTTTGGAGGGGCAAGGGAATGGCCTCCGACCCCATCTGTTTCCTGAAGATAGGCCCTGATGGGGGTAAGTGTTCGGGGAGGGCATGATATCCTGACAAAGGGCAGATCTCACAGCAAAAACAACAGACAGGGAGAGAGAGAGTGTGAGAGAGAGAGACTTGTCAGCTGAAGGAGAGTAACGTGATTGGATCCTGGAAAGAGCTTGTGCTTTTCCTCTGTCCCTCTCGTAAATCTTTGCAGTTTCCTCTTGTTTTTCCCATTTCAAGTTATGGCCTTTTGACACAGTTTTTTTTTCTGAAGAGGGCTGAGATTACGTTGTTATTTAGGTAAGGAAGTTCACAGCACTTAAAGCTCTGCAGCGGGAAGAAGTGGTCAGTAACCTTTTGAACCTATGGAAAGTGGTGCTCTGCGTTTTCCATTCTTGTCACCATACAGTGAACCAGTAGAATGGAATGTCGGCAAAGAAGAGATTTATACAGAGACCCTTTAAAATGATTGTAAAAAAAAAACTTGGGCTGTGGCTTGTATGATCAGATGACTGGTATTCCCTGGTTATTCCCCGCACCTGCTCGGCCTTGAGTGAGATAGTTAGCCACTCGCTTTCCGTTTCCCTGCCCTCGCCTAGCTCACCTCTTTGCATCAGCACATGACACAATCATCCATCCACGATCAGCTGCCTCACAGCTCAGCAGACGCTACTCAGACAGATATGGTAATAAAGCATATTTTATTATATGATATCTATTGACTGATGATCCGAAAGGCACGTGCTTCATGAAAATCATCCATTTCGCTGCAGAGTTCCCAAAGGCTATACAGAGCTGTGGTCTAAATTGCACATTTAATCTTCTCCTTCATTCTCGAAAACTGCCTTTGCCTGATTTTTCCCCCTGACTTAAGGTCCTTTCAAGGGCTCTTGTTTTTTTTGTTGTTTTTTTTTTTTAGAAATATACCAGTAAGTGTTCAGGAATAATAGAAATGTTCTAATTTACCTCACGCAGAGCTTACATCCTAAAGTGCACCCATTGTCTTGTGGTGGATTTAAATGTCAGTGAAATTGTATTTTGAGTCACAGTGGGCTAAGCCATTACACGGCCACATACAAGGTTAATTGTAGTAAATGTATTTCCACTTATTCTCTTCTCTAATTATACTTTGAATTGCATATTTAAATGTAACTTTTCAGATAACACCTAAGGAGAGGTATTGTTTCTGCTGAAACCCTTGAAGAAAAATGACAGGCATCGCTAAGAAATTTGAAATTCATGCAGCACCTACTTACAATAACTGTGACAAATAATGCCACAGTGACTCACCTTTTCTGGTCAAATCAGTCAGCCAAATAAGTTCAACAACAGCCTAATGAAACACTTCTGATTTAATCTCACCTTTTTCCCTCGTTCTTTTCTTTTTCTCTCCCACTATTTTCCTTCCTCCCTGTTTCTTTCTGCAGATGGTGCAGATTTGGAGGATGACCCATCATGTTCTTGGCCAGCATCGTCGCCCTCCAGTAAGGATCAGACTTCACCGGGACATTGCGAGGACTATGATTTTGGAGAGGAGGAAGGAGGCCCTGGCCTGCCATACCCATGTCAGTTCTGTGAAAAGTCCTTCAGCCGCTTAAGCTTCCTCAAGCGCCACGAGCAGAGCCACGGTGATAAACTCCCCTTCAGCTGTACCTTCTGCAGCCGCCTCTTTAAACACAAGCGTAGCCGAGACCGACACGTTAAGTTACATACTGGTGATAAAAAGTACCACTGTGGAGAGTGTGACTCTGCCTTCTCACGCAGCGATCACCTCAAAATCCACATGAAAACCCACGCCTCCAACAAACCCCATAAGTGCCCTGTGTGCAGAAGAGGTTTCCTTTCCTCCAGCTCTCTTCACGGCCACATGCAAGTACACGAAAGGGGCAAGGATGGCAGCTCCGGCTTTTCTAGAGCTGATGAATGGAAGCTAAAGGAAACTCAGAAATGCAGTAGATGTGAGGAAGGCTTTGATGTTCCAGAAGAACTTCAGAGGCACATCGCAGAGTGCCACCCTGAATGCTCCCCATCGGAGGATGGAGGCCTGGGTGCCACCCTACAGTGTATCTATTGCCACGAGCCCTTCAGCGATGAGGGTACCCTGCTAACCCACATAGATCAGGCCCACAGCAGAGATAGAAAGGGCCACACCTGTGCTATCTGCTCTGAACACTTCCTGTCTGTTGAGGATCTCTACGCTCATATGGACATTCACCAGCTCCCTGAATCTAGCAACCATAGTAACAGTCCTTCATTGCTTACTGTGGGGTACACCTCTGTCTCAAGCACCACACCTGACTCCAACCTCTCTGTTGACAGCTCTACAATGGTTGAGACAGCACCTCCTGTGCCCAAGACACGAGGGCGGAGAAAGAGAGCAGCTCAGAACACCCCTGACGTAGGAGGGCGGTCTTCAAAACAGTCTAAAGTTTCCTACAGTTGCATCTACTGTAACAAGCAAGTGTTCTCAAGCTTGGCCGTGCTTCAAATTCACCTTCGGACCATGCATCTGGATAAGCCAGAACAAGCTCATACTTGCCAATTTTGTTTGGAAGTCCTGCCCTCATTACTAAATCTAAATGAGCATCTTAAACAAGTCCATAATGCAGAAGACCATGCTGCCCTTTTAGCCAGCCTGCCTGATGCCCTTCTTCAGTGTAACTTCTGCCCTGAGGTGTTGAGTGACCTAAACGCGCTCCAGGAACACATCCGCTGCTCCCATGGCTTCCCCAGTCCTGTCGCCAAGGAGAGCAATGCCTTTTTCTGCCCTCAATGCTTCATGGGGTTCTTGACAGAAGCTACCTTGGAGGAGCATGTTCGTCAGACACACTGTGATGGGGGAAGCCTGCGTTTTGACTCTCCATTGGCTGTAACTCCTAAGGAACCAATAGTAGAGGTGTACTCCTGTTCATATTGCACCAACTCACCCATATTCAACAGTGTTCTAAAGCTCAACAAGCACATCAAGGAGAATCACAAGAACATTCCTTTGGCCCTAAACTACATCAACAATGGAAAGAAATCTCTGCGTACTCTCAGCCCTTCTTCACCAATATCAGTAGACCAAACTGCCTTGCTAAAACAAGGCAGCTCAGCCTCACGCACTACCAGTGAATTCATATGTAACCAGTGTGGGGCCAAGTACACAAGTGTAGACCTTTTTCAAACTCACCTCAAAACCCATTTGGATTGCCTGCAACCTCAGCTCACGTGCCCACAGTGCAACAAAGAGTTTCCTAACCAAGAATCCCTCCTGAAGCATGTGACAATTCACTTCACTATTACCTCCACTTATTACATCTGTGAGAGCTGTGACAAGCAGTTCACGTCCGTGGATGACCTGCAGAAGCACTTACTAGACATGCATACGTTTGTGTTCTTTCGCTGCACCCTGTGCCAGGAGGTGTTTGACTCGAAGGTCTCCACCCAACTCCACCTGGCTGTAAAACACAGCAACGAGAAGAAGGTGTATCGCTGCACATCCTGCAACTGGGACTTCAGGCATGAGACAGACCTGCAGCTGCATGTCAAACATAGCCATCTGGAGAACCAAGGCCGTGCTCACCGATGCATTTTTTGTGGTGAATCCTTTGGTACAGAGGTGGAGCTGCAGTGTCACATCACAACCCACAGCAAGAAGTATAACTGTCGCTTCTGCAGTAAGGCTTTCCACGCCATTGTTCTCTTGGAGAAACATTTAAGAGAGAAACACTGTGTGTTTGAGGGAAAAGCTCAGAACTGTGGTGCTAACGGCTCGACTGTAAGCGGTGGGGAGGGCCAGGCTAAAGAGGAGACTGAACTGCAGAGTCTCATAACCAACAGCCATGGTTCAGTGGCAGCAGGAGGGTCAATTGTGGAGTCCCACAACAGCCATGATGGAAGTGAGGAAGAGGTGGACACAGCAGATCCTATGTATGGGTGTGACATATGTGGAGCATCATACACAATGGAGTCACTCCTCACTAACCACCAGTTGAGAGATCACAATATCCGACCTGGTGAGAGCGCAATGATAAAAAGGAAAGCTGAGATGATCAAGGGCAACCACAAGTGCAATGTCTGTTCCCGTACCTTCTTCTCTGAGGCCGGGCTGAGAGAACACATGCAGACCCACCTTGGGCCTGTCAAACACTACATGTGTCCCATCTGTGGGGAGCGCTTCCCTTCCTTGCTCACCCTGACAGAGCACAAGGTCACTCATAGCAAGAGCTTGGACACAGGCAGCTGCCGTATTTGTAAAATGCCACTGCAGAGTGAGGAAGACTTTCTGGAGCACTGCCAGATGCACCCTGACCTGAGGAACTCCCTAACAGGTTTCCGCTGTGTGGTGTGCATGCAGACCGTCACCTCCACATTGGAGCTCAAGATCCATGGTACTTTCCACATGCAGAAGACAGGCACTATGTCCTCCAATCAACCCATGGGCCGCACCAATGCCATCTCTCAAAACCAGCAACAGCACCATGCCCAAAAACCTTTCAAGTGTGCCTCTTGCCTGAAAGATTTCAGGTCTAAACAGGACCTTGTCAAGCTGGACATAAATGGGCTGCCTTATGGACTATGTGCGTCCTGCGTGACGGTAGCCGGTTCTAAAAGCTCCAGTCCTACAGTGAATGGAGGAAGGCAGCAGCAGCAGGGGGGGGCGACCACTCCAGCTACAACCCAAGCTGCATGGGTTCAAGCTGAGAGTCTTAGCCCTGCAGACGGGAAAGGCAAAGCTGTCTCATCATCTTCCTCATCCTCCTCCACATCTTCATCTTCTGCAGCCAAGACACGCTGCTCCAGCTGTAATGTGAAGTTTGAGTCTGAAGCCGAGCTTCAAAACCATGTTCAGACGGTGCATCGGGAACAAGCTGGGGACAGCAATAGCGGGCTGCTCAAGACCCCCCAGGTGTCACCCATGCCCAGAGCCAGTCCTTCCCAAACTGAAGAGGTATTGTTGGTGCTGTGTTAGATATGGTTCTTATAGTAAATTAACTAATTGAACTATTTTCCGTGTCACGTGTGAATGAACAGAAGCATACTATTTCCATTATAGCTTGATATATGAACTGCTGCAGTCACATAACTGGGCTAATATGAAGATTAAAGGTTAAATAAATGTGACGTTTGATTAGCTGTTCAGACGCTTTGCACGCTTTTACAATACTTAGAATAATGAGCTGCAGTTTCAAGACTCTTTTAGAATCATTAGAACAAAATCAAAAGGCAGAAACTCCATAAAAGCCATTGAGTTGCAGCATGTGCTTACTGTCTAACTATGTAACAGTATTTTCAACTGTTTTCACCTGCATTTTTATTTAAAACAAAGCTCCACAACATGGAGATCATATTTGATATCAGTTTTTATTGCAAAAATACCATTGTGTTATGCAAAAGCTAACCAGGAAAGTTTTCATGTGACACAACGATGGCAATTCAGAGAACACAGCTGAATTTCACTGCGGCTACGCTGTCAATCCTGCGCAATTAAAACCTCACAACTATAACAATGTTCAACGAGCTGAAGCATGTAGAAAGTGATAGATCCAGCTTCTATTACCCAGTAGTGTTATATTTCGCACAACCATTGCACTTGTTACCCCCGACTGAGAATTGTTATGATACGATATACTGTTGCGAAAAAACTCTGATTTAGGCTTACATTAGGCTTACATTTCTATACTTTTAAGTATGTATACTACTAACGCAATACTTTTAAGTATAGCGTTAGTAGTATACATTGCATGCTCAGTGCTTCTTTTATTGCATTTTATGTCACCTATAAATGTCATGTGGTTAAAACTGATAAATGTGAATAATATCTGGATCAGTGAATGTTTCACATTCAAGAGATTAAGAGCTGATTATTGTTATATACATAATGTCTAAAAGAATATACTCGGTCAAACTGTTCATTGATTACAGATCCATTCTTCCAAACTGACTTATTTTTTCACATATTTATAGAAGAAGACCTATCAGTGCATCAAATGTCAGATGGTGTTCTACAGTGAATGGGACATCCAAGTACACGTGGCCAACCACATGCTGGGTAGGAGACAACTCTCTTTTTTTAAGAATACTATGGTTTCTGTTTTTCTTCTGGAAAAGCAAAGCTCTTTCACAGAGATTAACTATGAATTGTCCTTTAGATATTGAAATGAACATGTGTTGTGTCACTTTTACTGTTTCAGTGTACTAATCATTTAGCAGAATATGACCAATTTCACAACACTGAGCACGTTAAATCAACCCCAAGCAGTCTTTCTCCATTCTGTTTTTGAAAAGATTTAAAAAACTGATGTGACATATGTAATGAAATATTTGACCCTGTCTCACTCAGGCTCACAAGTGTCTGGATCACATCACCAAATAGGTGGAATTATTTTAATATTTTGACCATCAAATGCATCCCCAGTGTTGTGCTTTCATAAAATGAATTTCATTATTCCATGCATGTGAATGGTATATAAAGGTGTGTCTGCATGCTTGTGAAGCAGAAGCTCTCCACTTGATGCCATTCTGTAATGAAGAAAGTTTAAAGAAGTGGGAAATGTGCATTACATTGAAAATGATAATTACCAAACAGATTATTCTGAAACTATTTCAAATCTTTAAAAAATATTAGCAGTAACAGTTCTTAAGAAGCTCCCACACCGCTTTATTTTTCTTTAGTTCTATGTGTTTGTTGTCCCTCTTCACAAAAGCACTCTCCCTAGCTTTGAATACATTTGGTAACATAGTATCAGGCTCTCTGAAAAATCATGTCAAATCAGTTGAAAAATTATGGATATTACTATGTACATTGAAAATTATTTTTTTTAAAACTGCTATGTCTATGCTAAGATTCTTAAGCTGAGAGTGCATGTGTAAGACCAACCTCCACATTTTCAAAATGTCTTCACCTTTGGCTGCTATTTGTATGCAGGCAGAAAAATTTATAGAGGAGACAATTGGAAAACAGCTTTTCTTGCCTGCAGTAAGTAGGTGTCTGAATTCCGGTCTCACGTTCCTTTATTCATTCATTTATTCAGCTCGTTTGGCAGCTCTTTCATTACACTGCATTATCTGTTGTCTTCAGTGGGAGAGAGACTCATTGATCTGGAACCAAACCGTCTCTCTGTTTGGGACACGCTTCTAGGCGCAGGTGAATTTAAACACGGTGGGCAATTTTATCAGGACCGGTAGGCAATTCTATCAGGGACCCACTGTTTGTGCATAAACAATCAGAAGCATGTGATTTGTGATTTTGATTCTGCGGTGTATTTGCAAAAGAGAGAGACGAGCTGAGAGTGTGTAGGTGTGTGTTTTGTATTCATCTTTGCGATCTGCTCACCCACTAGTCTACTGGGGGTGCCTAATACAGTACCATGCCAGCATTAGTCCTTTCTCTTGCAAAGGCAGGCACGGAGCACACTGGGAGGGTAGAAAACAAACCCCCCTACTGGTTATTTTATGTCTTTCAGCCGCACAAGCACACAGTTCCCTCATAATAGTGGAATATAGACAGCTTAAGATAACAGGAGGATAGGTGATTGGGTTATTGTCTGATGTCTTACTTCTCTGATATGCCATTGTTTAGTATTCAACATGATAACGGGTTTCATCTGACTTCTCAAAAGGGTTTCTCTTAGATGTATTTGTCTTGTGATCTGCAAAATGTGGAGAAAACAAAATTGATTGTAATATAAAGTTGTCAGACTAAAAAGAAGCAAACTTAACCGAACAAAGGAAATGTGTTTAACTGATGAGGCAATATAAATCCCATGCATTATATTTGCCAGTGTTACAAGTATCGATCTCCTGGCTTTAAACAGATTCCTACGAATTAGTTCCTTTCAGTGTAGAATGTTGTTCAAATTAAACCCAGTAATCACTGCATAGCCAGTTTGGGTCAAAACACAGAAGAAAAAAAAAAGTCATTTGCAGAGACTCTAAATACCTTCTCTACAGAAAAAGGGACACTTTCTCCTTTTAATGGCCATCTGCACAGGAGAGGGGAAACAGGGGGCTGGGGTCATCTCCGCTCAGCTGTCAGCGTTATTAGCGTAGGTAATGGAGCAGACGCTGGATTCATAGGGGTGTTGTTTTCATCCATGCCCCTCTCCGTGGTGTCAGTTCACTCTGATAACTCTATATATAGTGATGCGCCTTGACACAACCATAGTGCTAAGTGTATGGAGCAACACAACCTGAGCCTGTCTCATCCAGAAAAGTCGTAATTAGCTGCCTTTGTAATACGATAGCCTTTCCAAACCAATTGCAGTGAGTCTCCACACTCACCTCTTTCCATTATGTCAAGGCGTGCCTGTCTCTCCTGTAAGACTTCCTGGGCATTTTGATGTATGGAGGGTGACAGTCATGTTTCAAACATAAAGAGCAGCTATGGTGCGCAGCTAGTTAACATTTTCTATGTTAATGAAGGTAAATGAAAGAGAAGGAGGCAGCCATGGTTACAGAGTGGTGTGCAGTAGACCAACCCCAGCCAAACCTATGAATGGCCCCACGTGTCTTAAGATGGAGGCTGCAGCCTGCTAGGGCCCAGATGGATCAGTACACATTTGCTGTACAGCTGGTCGCTCTGTTTGGGGACCTGGTGTGATACTCCTATGGAGAAAAAAATGATATTGCCACCATCCAAGGAGCAATTTAATAGCAGGCCAGAAGACAGCTGGCCACTCTTTAGTTTAGAGTTTTTTTGGCATGGCACACTTACAGAATTGAGGGTGTCCGATTTTTCTCTAGAGACACACAGATTTATACAGCTTTCAGCTGTTGTAGTCACTATCTATCCTTTTATTTCCAATTTCCCCAAGATTAAAAGACATGTATGCCCATCAATAGGTTTTATCCCAACTGCAATGGGGGGGAAAAAATCAAAATTTGTCACGCTTTCACAAAGTCACCTTTGTATTTTTATTTTTTAAAAGGACCTTTGAAGGTCTTTCACTGACACAAAAGCCTGTTTGGTTTTATCAGCATGCCATCATGCCACCCCATTGCTTCACTTTGACCCCAGTGTAAACTATGACATTTGGAGCCTCATGGGGGGGCACGTTTGGCCTATTTATCGCTCTGTTTCAAATGTCCCTGTGTGGGTTTTCAGAGCCCTGACCCGTTTTGATGCAAGGACTCTGTTTTAAAGGGTTTTAAAAAACAAAATAGGGTTTAAAATATATACACATATATATATATATATATATATATTAAACCCTATTTTGTTTTTCAAAACCCTTATACACACACTTTCAGTTTAATCCATTTCAATCCTTTACATTCCAAGCAATAACTACCAAGGTGGCAGTGCTCACAAGGACAGTTGTAAACAAACCAAACTACATCCCAGAAAAAAGTGTTTCTGGGGTCACCTCTACAGATTTTTTGGGTTGGTGACAACATTGAGCTTGAAGCCAACTCAGGGAGGAGCTTACTCTCACTGAGAGGAGCCGGTGGCCTGGTCGGCCTAGGCAAAGGGGGGCACTGGAGGGGTGGAAAGGTTTTGGGGGCGGAGAGGGAAAGGCACATTTGCTGTACAGCTGGCCGCTCTGTGTGAAGCAGGCACTGTGGGCCGTTGCAGAGCTGGAGAGGAGGGCGAGTGAAGGCCTTTAGCTTCTCTCTAGTTTCTCTTCTCTGTTCTCCCTATCTCTCCATTTTACTCTGTCTCAGTATCAAGCTCTCACATATTCATATTAACTGAGCTCCAGCCTGGCAAAACAAACTGTGTTGGCTGTTAGTAGAGAAACCAACAGGAGGCACAATGTAACAGTATTTGAAAGCCTTGTTTTATCTCATGCTAAGGGCCTCAAATTATCCTTGACACGTATCCTCTTGTTTTGGACTCTTGGAGCAACTTGGCTGGTGTATGTTGATTTTATGGTTTCCATCACTGTCTGTGCCCTGGTGGCAGCACATTTATTACTCCATTTAGTGCTCTTATTTTTGCTCCCGATGCGTAAACAGAATGTGGGATTTTCACTCTTTGTTTCTTTTCCTATAATCCTCTTTGATTGGATGAGTCTGATGGTGCTCCTGCAGTTTTTAGGACTCATTCATAGAGCATATACACATGTAATCTGTTAACAAACGTGACCAAATACTCCTCATTTGATTCCTGGGGGGGCTGGATCAGAGTCAGAACTCGATAAACAAATCAGCATAGGAACAGGATCAATCTTATGAAATAAATAAGAGAACAGGTTTGGACCAGCTACTGGAAACAAAGTAATCCATGCATGCGATACACTGAGTGTGATATCTACCGGCTTTTATTAATTGGTGATTAATAACACCTCTCTGTTCGTTAGCGTAGTCACCTCCCGTGCAGCCAAGTGTGTTGCTGCTAATATGCAATTATGCGCACCTTACTGCTCGTTACATTATACCTCTCCCTGACTAATGTGGGGTCCATGAGGAGAATAGAAATCAGAGTGAGCTGCAAAAACTAGCCATCAATAAGATTCTCACATCCTTTGTGTTTCTCTGCTGTCTGGGTGGAGAAGGAAAAAAATAAGTTTTCTTACAAATTCCTCGATGTAACCAGGAGACTGCATTAAAAGTTTTACAGCTTTGCAGAGACTGTTTTGCTCTTCCTGGTGTTTTTGTTGTAAAGCAGAGGTAATTGACATCACCATGGGGATGCTCTGTTGCTTGGCCAGACAAGCTCAGTCTGATGTGGTCCTTATCTATTGATTTTCCTGACATTTCCCCACACCTCACAGACTAGGCCAACATGTGAGAAAATATCTGATGCTCTCAGTTCATACAGCCTGCTTGTACAAACTCTGAGTGAGTGCTTGCTGCCGCTTTCTGCATTGCAATTGGTTGGTTGATATCACTGTGGTGGCTCTTGGCAAATTCTTTTCAGCGACTGGTTGAACTGTGTTGTATTTATTTTAGTTAATCGCTTTTTTATCACAGTATGAATAAATATATGTAGTTTAAAATGACCTATTGTTTAAAAAACGAAGAAAAAAGTTTATATATAAGATTAGGTTTAGCTATGTTTTATTGATACACAAGAAAGATGTCTCCTTTGGAGGGTTAATGCCAACCCTTGTTCTGAAGTGAGACCCATAAATACTGTATGATAGGAATTAACCTCTGCATTGCTTCAACTCCCCACGGTCTCGAAGATGTCACCAAGGCCGGAGGTGCACACACGCTCCTGGTCTGATGGGGTTGCTTAGCAGTCTGGCTGGAGGGGGCTTATGGGAGAAATGCAAACAGACAGTCCTGCCCCAGTAAAGGTCAGAGCTGCAACCTACACCTCTCAAATCCCAGTCTGGCCCTGATGGGACCTGGGTTCCAAGCATGCCTAGAGATACTTGCGGTAGGGGACAGTTACAGTGAGACTGGAACAGCGCCCTGCCACTGAACTTAGTAGAGGTTGTCAGCATCAATAGAACTGTGACAGATCTGATCTAACTTTGTGTTGCATTTCGTACTGGGTGTGTTTTTTAACTATATGCACACTACAACAACAGTAACTTTCTCGTGCTGCTGAACAGGAAAGCATGTCAAAATGGTCCTCAAAACAGTTGTTATGTATGTTTCATAGGTGTGGTGAGGTTTGTTATAGCGTACAAACAGACTCCAAAAGAGTACAGCAAAAAGTTTTAGCTCTCTTTATGGAGCACAACAGTGGTTTTCCAAAGTACCATGTAACGAATGACCATCCTCATCAAAGTTTGGCTGCGTGAATGGCGGACATGGGAGGAGAGGGGAGGGGAATAGGGTTCTGAAAGGCCCCCCAGCGTCAAAGCCTTAATAATCATGTGAGCAGCGCTGGACTTCATTACCCTCCTGTTCGACAGGCTTAGTGCCAGCCTGGATTGCTGGCTGGCTGTGGCAAGGTCAACGGCGGAGGAAAAACCAGTTACTGTGTTACTCTGGAGCGGAATGGAGAGGGGTGGCCATCTGTCAGCTCAGGCCTGCCATACCCGCAGAGCAAATGGACACGGGCGGCCAGAGGAGAGGCCACAGACACCCATAGAGCTAAACCCAGTGAGCATAACACTGAGGCACGGACATGGATCCAGCCAAAGAGATGGGCCCGGTTACCGCTTAAGCACATATATATGTATACACATAGAGGAAATAAGGCTATATTCTTGAAATTTGGCAGCACCTCGCGTCTATGTTTATGCATGTTTTTTAAGCTTCATCACACTATAGGGCTCCCACTGTTCTAAATCCAGATGGCTAACTATTTGATAAAAAGTTGACCGAACTTTTGCTGTGCTTGCCAACAATGATTTTCTTCTCTGTTATGGAGACATTGTCAATATAGCTACAAAAATACTTTCAAGTTTGAGGTCCAGCGGGTTTCTTTGTCATTTAGATGTCATCCACGTCCAAGTCAGATTCTAGTTTTAATGTTTCACCTTGCCAGTTGTTTGTCAGCATCTGAGTCGCATGTCTGTTAGGACCTTTACGATGCCCTCTGGCCAAAGTGGAAGAACCCTGTGGAATGTTCCAAAGCCCTCTAATAGGTTTCAGGTGCTGTGGGCTATCGGCCAGCCCCCCCATCAACACCCCACTCTGTGTGTGATAGGACTCCCTGTTCAACAGTCAGCAGTCTCCTCTAAAAGTAAAAGGGCAGTGCTACAAAATAGATCACAGTTTACTCTCAAATATTTGCTTATCTTGACAATAAATAGTTAATTTATTTTGATTGATTCATGTACATCTCCTTGCCTTGAGATATTTGAATTCTTGTCAAATAGAAATAAAGCTGTTTCGCATACACTTGTGCTTCAAAATTTAGGCAGAGAAGCAGTTTGCTTCCCTATCATAGCGCAACTCAGCAAGCTAAAGTTCCTGCTTGTTTTCCTCCTGCACCAAAAGTACAGACCCCCCCTGGCTTGAAAATCAACATACTCCGGAAAGCAGGGAGATAGTCCTGGGCGATTCCCCTCACATTAATGGAAATCACACAGGAACTCCCTGGATGAAAGCTCAATTAGTTATTAAGGTTTAATGTTGATATCAGTGCTTATATGTTTACTGGAGTGCATGGTGTTGCTGATGTTGAATTGTCAGAGAGGTGCAGATTTAGTAAGGAATTAGTGTACACCCAGGATTTAATTAAGGGGATCTATTTCCATCTTGTTAGAAAGAGATAATGTGAGTACTGCATGCTTCATGTATTATGATATTAAATGTGGCTTCCTGTAAACAGCATAATATCCACAACAGAAGTGCTTGTATATTGTAAAATATAAATAGCATGTCATAAAGGCAAAGAGGAATTATAGCAAAAAGAGCATAATAGATTGACATATTTAGTTTTTTCACAGTAGCATCACTAACTTTTGTTATTTCAGAGTATAGATAAAAAAGTGAGTCATTAGAGGTAAAATGGTCACAGTTCCACTCTTTTCCTATGTCTTGTTCCATTTCTTGCGTGACGATGGAGTGTGAACACTAAAGTGACATGGCCTCTTTGTCTTTCCATTTGTCCCACTGCTGCCTAGAGACGTAAACCTTAAGCCACTCACGCTCTGATTAATCTTTTAACATTTATAATTACTAATTAAGTTAGTAAGAGACTTTTAATGTAGTCCTCCTTCAGTGGGGAGCAGAGAGGACAACAGATCATTAGCTTCAATAATGAACACGGATGAGACTGATAATGGCTTATGATAGGTGAATACTGACAGTTATATTAAATGAAGCGAGTATGCGGAAAAGTGCTGTATTCCAGCAATACTTTATGGATTCAAAGACACAAGGAAACAAGTTTGGCTAGATCACAAAAAAAGTGCAAGGAATAAGGAAATTGATCTTAGGCATTCATGTATACCTATGATGCGATGTGCTTCATTTGGTCTAGGCTATCTGCATTAGTGGTGATGTGAAAGTTAATTTCAAGTACTGATTTTATTTATTAATTCACACTGGATTCATTGAATTTTCTGTGTCCCTAATGTAGCTGCTGCATCTCATTATCACATTAGTACATTAGCATCTGCATTCTCCCAGTGGCTGTGAGTTGCTGCCCATTAAAGGAGTCTTTCCATCTCAGGATTTTGATTTATTTATTTATTTGTTCCCACCTTAACAACGATGGCACTCCGGTACAATCCACGAGCCTCCCCACTTTGGGGAAGGTGCTTATGCCATAATGATTATTATCATTAAGAAGATATTAATGTGCTTAGTGTTTGTGACCCAGCTGCTCATGGCCTGAGCTACCGGAGGGAGGAGATCTGCTGCCAAAATGGACAGTGCACGCAGGCCGCCGCCCACCTGTCCAGAGGTTTCAGGGTTACGGAGGTCACAGCCACCTACCTCCCCGCCCTCTGCCTGAACTGGCAGAGGGAAAGCTCATAATGTGAAATTGGAAGAGATGAATTGTGTTATGTGGTTCACGTTAAACAGTAGAACTGAATGAACTGAAGGGAGTGTAAGCATCTTCCTCTTACACAATTTTAGCACACATGTTAATTATAGTTATGGTACTACTGTTTGGGGAAATGTACGTTCTCCCCGCAGACTTTTATGTCTCCTAATTATTCATTGCATTGAAATCTCTCTATCGTTTCAGGCCGTTCAAGCAACAAAGCACAATTGCGATCCCATATGTTTGCATTAAATTTGAGTTTCACAGATAAATTGTTTCATTTACCTAATTATTTTATAGAGATGCTCTCTTTCTGTATTTTCAACATAAATCACAAGTCCGGGACTTTTGTTTTGAGGCCTCACGCACAGAGATAAATGGTATGGTGGTGAATGCAGTCGGGCTGAAATTCCTCCAGCCTCTCAGTTTCAAATTGCTGCTTCATTAGGGCTTGGAAAAGAAACCCATGGTTACATTTAATCAAACGAATCGGTATGGCAGACCAACATAATCAATCACAATCCTTATCCAATGTGCTGCATTCTGTAACTACCAGGTTGGCTTGGAGAAAAGTCAATTATGGACCCTTTCCTTGCTCCTCTGCCACAGTTCCTGTGATGCTATACTGCTTTTGCAGTTATTTTCATTATGCTAATATGTACTGGGTGCCTCATATATACAACCCTTTCCTATTTATTCAGATATGTTTTCCTTTTTATACTGCCAATTCTTGTATGATACATGGGCTGGGGGTTTGTTGGAGAGTGCAATGTGCCATATCTGGAATAATCAAATTAAGTATTAATGATTTTTGCTCTCAAACTAACACTTGTGCTACACAGACAGTTGCAGTCAGTGTTGTTCATATTTCATATGTTTTGCATCCACATGGACCTCTTCTCACTGTCTCTCTATATATGAAATCATTTACAGGTTTTACTCTCCCACCCGTGTCTTTGAATACATGTATGTGCATTTGCAAACACTGTAGCCATGCTCACATACAGTGGAGACACTCGGCACTTAATTTGTCAATCTTTCCTCCTAGCTTTGTCCCTTCTTCCCTTTACTTCAGCCTCACACACAATCATCATGCTCGATGTAACACACAAACAAACAAGGAGGCACACAAAGGCACGTACGCACAAGGTAGCTTGGTTGGTGGGGGCCACGACTGCAGCTCCTCTGCGCAGTCCCTGAGTGGCTCCCGGGGCTCGGCTGCCAGTTGTTTGCCAGCGTCTCCATGTGGAATTCATTCAAATTAAAGCGGTGGAATGAGGCCCGAGTCCCAGAATGCCTCGTCCCTCTCCTTCATCAGCATTCCGCCGATGAGAGTAATTAAAGCAGAAATTAATTCTGCTGTAAGCAGAGGAGCCACAGAATAACTGATATTAGAGGCTGGATGATGAATGCTTGGCATCAAGGGAGGTCTCAGGGGAGGAGAGGAAAATTCACAGATCTTTCGTTCTTTCTCTCTTTCATTCCTTCATTCTTTCTTTAGTTTTTTCTATCTTTCTCACTTGTGTGTAATTCTCCCTTCTCTGTGTTCTTTTTGGTACGTCAATTTACTGCTCGTTTCTTACCTTCTCTCTTTCTTTCCTTTCATGCTCTGTGGCAACATTTGTCCTTCCGAGAAGCCTAAAGGCTGCTACAAAAGAGCTGAAGACATTGGCTACAAGCATGACTGAAGACATTACCACTAAGCCCTCCCTGTTCAGAAACAGTATTTCACATCTTGTCAGTAGTGGTTGTTTTTCCATCAACAGGCATGTTAGAGTTTAGTGATGCTGAAAATGTTGATGTACTGTTGTTTACCAACATAAGTTAAATTGTATCTGAGAGCTCTCAGATAAACCCTTGAATACTGTGGGCAGAGTATATTTATTAGAGTATAAACAGAATATCTGTGTGTGTATACATGTACAGTAATTTACTGAATTAGATTTGTGTTGAACGGCTTGCAGCTAAACACTGAGTATTTCTTTGAAAACTAAAGCATAACTGAAGATTGAACATCGAATCTCTTTGGATGATGTGATATTCAACCCAGGATGATTCAGTGATCCCCCAAGTCCCCTGATGCTTTATTTTTGGAATGGCACATCTTAAGCGAGAGCAGTCACAAGACTGAAGACAAACAAGTGAACTCTTGAAACACAGAGACTGGAGGAGACTGTCAGTGTATTTCTCTCTAAGAATCAAATGGAATTGAACAAAGGTTAGCTCTCTTTGGGGATTTCTGATAATATGATATACAATGCAGCTATGGAATTTGCCTGTGCATGTCTTAGCACTGTCTGATTCCAAGGAGGGAGTGAATGGTAATTATACTGACCTCTGCCCCTCCTTTTCTTATTCTGCCCTCTGGGTAAAAAGCCTGAGGTGGTAATAAACAATAGATAGATTTGTCTTGTTTGCATTGCAGCTGCTACACTCCTAATGACACACAAGATTGCTCTCTATTTTGAAAATAATACATGTCGAGATCTTCAGGTATTTAGATTGCATTTTTAATTGGTTTAGAGATGGAATATTTCAATCAGATGTAAATGAATAGAGGCTCAACCTGAGAGTTTCTGGCTCCTATTAAGAATTTAGTAGGCTAGGGTAGGACTTGAAAGACAGAATTAATGTTTGGAAACCACAAAGAGCCACAAATGCAGAAGAGATACAAGTTAGATTAACTAGAAACATACCTGTTGATAGGGCCAGGTTGAGGCTAGAAAATTGTTATGATACAACATGTTTTCCACCACTTTTGTCTTTATTCTTCATTTCTACACATGATTTCATATCGTCGCAAAAAAAATGCATCATTTTTTATGAGCTTTGTTCTTACCATTGAATTTATAGTTTCATTTTAATCAAATGTAGCTTTTTTGGATTTTTAAAAAACTTTTTCTTAGATATATTTTTAAATGTATTGATTACACATGTTAAAGTAAAATCCTGAATGCATAATCACAAAGTCATTAATCACAAAGGAGACGGGCTAGATGTATTTTACACTTTAAATCAGTTGTATCAAAGGAGTGTATCACTGCATGTCATTTGTTTTTTTTGCATCAATTTATTCATTCCTCTTTTGGAAAGGAAAATAATACACATACTGTAAAGGCATTTCCTCTCAATTATTTAGTCTTCTGCTCTTTTTATAGAGTCAAGGTTTACCTATGGACCTCACTAAAAGCTTGCTACTCAGCAGCAGTTTTCTAAGAGTAACTCCATAGTGGATCATATTGCTGTGGCAGAGGACATCTCCCTCCATCATTCAAATGCTGTTGCCATTATGAACCATTGAGGGTATTATTTGATGTCTGCCATCCTAGAAGTGATGGCAACAGTTGTTTGTTTGTCTGCTTGGTCCATGCACCAATAAAATTACACTCAAAATAAAACCTTGGTGTAACGATGACCTTAACTGCAATGACACTCTTTCCCATAACATTGTTCTGTCCAATAGTCCAGAACTCCCCTAAGAGGCCTTACAGCAAGTCTAGGAGGAACCAAATGAGAGAGAAATCGATTACTTTCCTCTCTCCACTGTCTCTGCCCTGGCTGAATTACTGAAACAAGATGCTGCACTTAGAGGAGTCTTTTGAGAGGCAGAGGGAGAGAAAGAAGGGTGGGGGGGGAAACACTTTTAGGGACATGGGTGCCATTTAGACGAGGACCATCTTCTTGCAGAAAGCCACTAAAAGCAGTGAATGATCCTCTTCCTGTCCCTGGCTGAGAGGTGGTTAGCCTCCTGTGGTTAAGTGAATACGCAGTTTACACTCAGGTTTGAGGTCAAAGTAAGATCATTCTAAAGAATATTCATTTCTGAAATTCTATCATGGTAGACATTACATACAGTTATATCAATACATATTTAACTTGCCCCAAGTATATCGCTCTTACTGTGTAACAGAGAGCTTCACACCAGGCTACATGAACCCAGTGTGGTGTTGCTTGCAGATTTCATGATGTCAAATGGGTGCTGTTTAACATCAACACCAGGTTTTATTGCCTGAACTATGAAGATAAAATTGAGGCCCGCTCGTTTGGTAGATAGAACGTGGTGCTTAAGGGACCCAATCCCTGTAAGTGCCATTAAGTGGAAATTGCCATTCACATATTCCAGTGGTTTGATTAATTACACTCTCTCATGTGCTTTCATAAAGGCCGAATGAAATATGGGGAGCAAATTGCATTGTGTTCCTGTATCCTGTTATGTAAAAGTAGTTTAATTATTGACACATGTTTTGCCACCTGGCAGGGGAAAGGATGGTCGGACATGAATAGAAATCATACAATAGATATTACGGACGGGTAGAAACAACACTTGAGATGCCATGTGTTTCTGTAACTGTGATTCAGTTGATGTCCCTGCTTTTACCTCCCCTCAGGTGCTCCTGCTGAATCAGAGCAGGTGCTATCAGCTGGAGGTGCCACAACTGTAAAGGAAGCATTTTGTGAGAGTGGTTGCACTCCGAAACCTGTTTAACTTTGTGAATCTGGGCTATCTTGAACTGTAGCCTCGAACAAATATGCAGTCGAGGCAATATTTTGTAAAAACTGTGCTGTCTCTCTGGGGATTGAAAGATCACTGCTGGCTTTGTGTGATATCTTATGAAGACTCTTTTTGATCAGAGTAAAGGGATAAACACTTCTAACCAATGCATATCTACATTGGCCTGAATAAATCAGTGTAAGAAAAACAACAAGCACATGTGAAGCTTTAATATGAAACAATTTTCTACCCTTTTCACCTATTTTTCTTTGTTTTTTATATTATATTTTTCAAGAGTAGCACCCTCTAGTGCCACATTGACTAAATAACATTGTGTCAGGTCAGCACTTGCCTTCTGGTGGAGCCAGTAGTACTTAGGCTCTGGTCTATTCTGTATTCTACAGTGTATGTGGAGGTATTAGCTCATAAAACCCTCCTACTGTCACATGAACCGAATGGTGTCCCTCAGCTCTATATGAACAGCAGGGCCCTTATACT